TTAGTAGGTGTTTTAAGGATTGCTGAGGGTGAAGACAAGGGTTGCTCTAGCAAATTGGAGAATCCTTTAAAAAAATCCGAGTTTTGGAATAATGTCATATAGTCTATAGTTTGAGCCACATTAGGAGTGAATTGAGGGTTAGAGGTTGAGGAAGACGACGAGGTACTCATACTGTTGCTGGAGAATTGGTCAGCCTCACTGGAGGTGACAGATGAAAAAAAAACAAAAATAAAACAAAAAAGAATTATATTTAAGAATTGAAGGAAGATGGCAGAGGGTAGAGGAGCGATGGTGTATTCGAGAGGAGGAAAAGAAGGTAAAAAATGGAAATAAAAAACCAGAAATACCACAGGAAAAATTCAACAAAAAGGGAAAAAACGGGAATACTTACTGATCATTGTGGTCGAATTGGCTGAAAAAGTATGAACTCCGGTCGTCAGCGGTGGTACAACAGTAGGAACTTCGAACACAAGATGAATTTTTGGTGAACACGATGAAAGAGCAAAATTATATACGGCAGAAACTTAGCAGAAGGGAGAAACCTATTTTTTTTTCTAAGGCATCCTTTTATGGGTGGAAGAAAGCTGAAGGTCAAGAGGTCAAACGATCCCAACCGTAGGATCGAGATCGGATTCAGTGGCCCAGATTGAAAGTATCAGCTAGGAAGGAAAGATGGTCATGGCCGTAGAATTAAAGGTGAAAGGAACGGACGAGATCTACGAAGCATTAATGGAGCTCATTGAACGTGGACTGCACGAATTGTGAAGCACCAGATGATGGGACGCTTAAGCTGGCAGGGCACGTGGCGACAAGATGGTTGGACGAAACGTGTGCTGACGCGTGGTAGCCATTTGAATTTTAAATTTCAAAAAGAAGAAAAACCCAGTAAAATACCAGATAAATTAGATGAAATGATGGAAGTGCTATAAAGGAGGTCTAAAAAATTAGAAAAAAGGCCAATATACTAGAATCAAAGGTAGTCAATTTCACTTTTGGATCGAGTCATCTTAACTAGACAAAATTGGGGGAGACCAAATGATATGGGATAATGTACCAGGTCAATTAGACTCGGAAAGCAGCAGAACCGAACTGGGTCAACTAGTAGGTTGAACAGAGAACGAAGACTTATCAGGTCAAATGATCGTCAGGTCGATGAGGATATCACAGATTTAGGGAGCACCGACGATATGGAGACTGAATCGGGAAGCAGATGTACTAGATTTAGGGACCAGATGATATGGGATAATGTACCAGGTCGATTGGACCCGGGAAGCAAAAGAACCGAACTAAGGCGAACTAGCTGGTCGAACATAGAATGAAGATCAGGTTAAATGATCCTCAGGTCGAAGAGAATGACGCGAATTTAGGGAGCACCGACATGGTGAATTAAAGCCCTCGGATGGCCTGGTGGAAGTTCGACCTGAAGGTACATTTGGTCGAAGGATCAACCAGACAAATGGAACAAGAGGGCTCGATGTCAACAGTAGTCTACCTCGAGGTAATCGAGGTCGGTCGCACGATTAGACCGTCTAATAAGGAAGACTAAGTGATAAGAAAGAATATTATTGGAATATTACCCCCAGTGGATAGAGCCACGTAGCCTAACAGAATTGAGCAATTCAGGCAGTACGAACGGGCAGTCTGGGCAGCCTACTCGGGCAGGCTTGGGCAACAAGGTGTCATCTCCCTATATAAGGGAGTGAGGTATGCCCATTGTTGGATGACATTCTCTATATTCTCTACATACATACAACACTTCATCTTCTTCACATTACTAACTTAAGCATATGATGCTCTTCACCGGAAAACCTTACGGTGTGAGAGTTTTTGCAGGTCTGAAAGACGAGCCACCTGCCAGGCAACCAGATCCACGTCAAGCTGAGCTGGTCTATGTCTTTTCTGTACCAACATAGAATTCTCGATAAACAAGTTGATATAGCCACATAAGGATAACCCGGTTCAGAAGCTCCTTACTCAATCAACAAACCACTCGAACTACTCGCATGTCGACACGACTCCGTCGACATGCTAAAATCAACTTTCCTAAGGTCGATTCTACCGAAAACAATCAAGAAGAGGCGAAAATTGGTCTAGTCGACTCTCACAAGTCGACCTCTAACTATCGACTTCTGCTAGTCGACCTCATACTAGAAGGACATCAAGAATGCAACTCCCAACCATCCAGATACTCTAGGTCGACTTCCACTAGTCGACTTTCTCATGACGACTCTCTAAGAAACGACCACCGCAGGGAGTTAAACCAGGTGTAGCCCCCGAAACCGTGTATATTCATAAGTCGACCTCCTAGTTCTCGAGGTCGACTCTGTACATCTCGAGGATCAAAGGGGTGAAGACGATTCACCACACTTGCAACATATCCAAAGCTCTACATATTACCAAGGATAAGAAGGAATCTTGCGATGACTCAGCAACAAAGGGGAGACGAATCGACAGGGGCATTTTGGACCTTCTAGGTCCACCGACTTAGGCATTTTGGGCACTTCAAGTAAGTATTCACTCCTATATAAAGGAGGCGAGGTAACCCAAACCCTAACTCTCTGATTCATTCCCACTCTCCCCCATAGCTGCTGCGCAGCCTCTCTTCATCACTCACATACTGACTTGAGCGTCGGAGGCTCTACGCCGGAAACACCTCCGGCGTTGAGTTTTTGCAGGAATTCTCGTGGTTTAGCAACGGTTTTGAGGCGGTTCAAGCAGATCTGAGCTCACAACCACCGGTTTACTTTAGATCTGGAAGTAGACCATCATTTGGCGCCGTCTGTGGGGAGTTCTTGAAGGAAGGAAGAGCTTCACACCCAGCTCTGATCTGTTTGCCAATGGCGGAGAAGGAGAGCTTGCAGAGGAACGTGAGCGAGGAGTTTAGAGGGACGTGGATGGACAAGAGGCCGCCGCCGCTCTCCACCACCAAACACCCCGTAATGCAGATGATAGGAATGCCACCTTTCGGAGGACTGCCACCACCAGGGCTGACGTTGGGCGGAGAAACGCCTGTGACTCCAACCGGCGTGAAGCTACAAGTGTTGACCCAGGCAGGAACAAGTCAAAACCCTAACCCAGATGGAGAGAAGGAGCCAACGGAGATATCTCGACGTGAGGGGAAACAGATACAGGAGGTACCGGAGCAAGCCCAACCTCATGTCGAGGAGCAAACCTTGACGATGACGAGAAGCGAAATGCAGAAGATGATCGCAGAGGCTGTAGCTGCCCAGATGAGGCAGATGGCGCAGGTCGAGCAGCAGCCTCGAATCGAGAACCAGTCTCGAGTCGAGCAGCAGCCCCGTGTTGAGTATCAGCCTCGAATTAAGCAACAGCCCCGCGTTGAGCAACAAGCCCAGTCGAACGTACAACAGAATAGGAGGGTGGACGAGGAAGAGTCCTCCATTCGAACTGTCAATCCACAAGCGAGGGATGAAACGTTAGAACAATTATTAGCCCAGGTTCGCGATTTACAGGCTCGAGTCGATGGAAAGAAGAGCAGGGGAACAAAGGAGCACCCATTCTCGTTGCAGATCTTGAAAGCCGACTTACCCAAAGGCTTCAAAGAATTGAACATATGGTATGACGGTACCACAGATCCATCTCGACATTTGAGGAGTTTCGAAAATGTGGCCGTGCTTCATCGTTACAGCGACCCAGTACAATGTCGCGCCTTCCTGACGACTTTGACAGGGTCGGCCCAAGACTGGTTCCATCAACTTCCGGCAGGGTCGATTCGGGATTTTGATGGATTCAGGTCGAGTTTTCTTAACCAATTTGCAAGTGTGAGGGTACAAGAGAAATCTTACCTCTCGTTGATTAGCATGCAGCAGAAGAAAGGCGAGTCGTTGCAGGAATATGTGGCAAGGTTTACAAAGGCGTACGTCGAATGCTCAACGGCGACAGAGAAAATCAAATCGGGGGGATTAACGAGAGGACTGCTACCAGGATTGTGTAAGAATTCCTTGGCCAAACGACCTGGTAGGAGTTTCGACGACGTGCTGGGCAGATGTGCCAAATACATGAATGTCGAGGAAGCCGAAGCCGACTACTTGCAAAGCGTGAAGATGTCTCAAACCGACAGTCGAGACGACAAGAAGGAAAAGAAGGGCCAGTTGACAGGAGATAGAAGGGGATCCCCTAGGGCTGATAGGGGTGAAGGCAGGTCTAGGGGATGGAGACCAACTCAATACACACCTTTGTTGGCTCCCCATGCGAGAATTCTGGAAGTTATGGAGAGGGAAATCCGCGACGATGTGGTAAGATGGCCGCGGACGAGGAAAGATGGACCTCTGAAGCCAAAAAGCAACCTATACTGTCGATTCCACAAAGACTATGGGCACAACACTGACGACTGTCAACACTTGAAAGACGAAATTGAGAGGTTGATAAAGGCGGGCCACTTGAAGGAGTTTATATACAAGGACCGAGAGAGGACGAGAAGGAGACGAGAACGAAGTAAGAGTCCTCGCAAGAGGGCGAGGTCGCCAGAAAAGGAGGAGCTCCCACTAAAAAGAGGAGTCATTAACATGATTTTCGGAGGATCGACTGATGGAGACTCCAATCGGGCAAGAAAGGCCTATGCTCGAGGCCGATATGCGAAAGTCGAAGTGCAGCAGGTCGAGGAAAGTGGACCAGTAATGAACTTTGGACCGACAGACGTGGGTGAAGTCGAGAGGCCGCATAACGATGCCTTGATGATAACGGCGCAGATATCGGGGTACGAGGTGCAAAGGGTGTTTGTCGACACCGGGAGTTCCGTGAACGTAATTTTCTATGAATGCCTCAGAAGGATGGAGCTTGACATTGAACTTACGCCC